CAACAAAGCAAAATCCAGGAGACGGTTGTTCATCAATGACCCATGCTATGGCAGTCACGACAAAATAAAAATCACCAAAAGCTGGCTAAGTTAAACACCTCAGAGGGGACTTAGGCAAAATCAAGGCAATCCTGATGGATTTGACAAACAAAGTCAATCCATGCAAAAATTAGGGATCAAAACAAAAGCAAAAGAGGACCTCGAAATCCTCAACAAAAACAAAAAAAGATTCAGTGGCCACCCAGATCAAAGGGGCACTGGCATCTATCAAAATAAGGTAACTGCCACGTCGAGCAAACCTTGAACCTTCAAGCTTACACCGTCCAGACAAGTGTAGAATTAACTGAGCGTAGGACTGGAGATCATTACGAAGAAGGGGTGGGTACAAATCATACTTTGAGCCTAGCATCCTTTGTTTCATAACCGTGAACCAGACCGTGTTACAACCCTCGAAAGACCTAATTGAGGCGAGGTTTATTCTGAATGCATATTGTTGCAAGGTTGCGTAACCTGACTCCTCACATGATTTCTAATCATCAATATTGGTGTCATTTTGCTTGCTATATCTTTCGCACTAATCAAAATTAGCACAACGTTTGGGCTAACGGTCCATTCGTCTCACTACCACGACACTTCAATAAAATAAAACTTTTCTAAAACTTGCATTGAACTGCGCATTAATATTACCATTTGTGAATGTACAATTTTAATTGCAAATCAGTGTTAGGTATTCAAAGACATTTCAAAAAAAGACAATCAAGGAGGAACTTGACTTTCAGTGGCGTACACGAAGCAAGATTATTTCAAAACCCGCAGGCTAGAGCAAATCATTCAACAGCTCAAGCAGGGGCAGGCCATTACCATATCCAGACTGGGGCAATACCAAGTTACCCTAATTATCAGGCAGGCTGCAACCTTCTCTGAAGGAAATTCACAACAAATCACCAAGTACCTAGACTTGGGGCATCCAGGGCGTTATCTTTTGCTTCAATCGTGGCGTCTTCAATAAACTGCGTGTCGAGGAAGTCAATCCCTCCCACCACCCGAAGTCCAATCTGCATTGGCAACTACCAGAGGCCACCACGCTGGCGTCTCCACCTGCATTTCCAATTACCCGTCTGCAATCATATGCATCATACGCATCACATTCGACCTCATAAATATCTTGCATCATATGCATACCCAATCATATCATACTTTCCCGGCTCTTGCATTTCCGCGTGTCAGCACTTGCATTTGCACTTCCACTCGTATGGAATGTCATTTATCATCCAGCATTCATATATGCAAGTCAAGGTCCAGGATCAATCTTGAAGGTTTCCAAGACCATCATCAGCCCAATCATGGGCATTTTTTCAAGATTGTGGGTTTCTCCCACGAATATCAAGAGCTTCAAAGCAATCATCAGCCCAGTCGTGGGCAATTTTCTGCAATTGTGGGTCTCTCCCATCAAAATTCGAAGTTATTCAAAGCAAGATTCAGCCCAGTCAGAGGCATCCTTTCAAGACCATGGGTGTTTCCCATGACGTATTTCAACCTCATGGTTGATCAAATCTTCAAATCAACATTCAGCCCAGTCAGGGGCATCTTTTCAAGACCAGGGGTGTTTCTCATGGCGTACTTCAACCTCGCGGCTGATCAAATCTTCAAATCAACATCCAGCCCGAGCAAGGACATCTTCAGCAAAGCCGTAAGCGTTCCTCATGAAGTTATTCAGTCTTTTGTTGAGCAAGACAAGACATCAAGACAAACTCAGCCCAGTCAGGGACATCCACTTCAGAATTCATGGGCGTAACCATGAAACCATTTCAGCAAAACTATGATTTCCAAGCAAGACGGTGGGCGTACCCCATTGATTCATTTCAATTCAATCTTCTTCTTAGGGGTTTCCCAATGAGTTGTGCCCAGCGAGCGTGACCGTTGTCAATTGCCTTACTATCATCCTTTTGGTGATAGTCAAACTTCGTCAGTTCAACCTAGCCTGCATCCTTTTGGTGTTGGTAAACTTCAAATCTGTGTTGGTAAACTTCGTCACACACATATTTATATATATTTAATTTTTAATTTAGTAATATAATATTGTGCTACAACTATTTGTGAAGTTCAGTGAAATAGTATATCTTCTAATCATGAGTTTTGTTTCCTAATTTCATCATTATTATTGTTAGTCATCCATCTATTGCATTGTACTTTTTCTTTTGACCAAATGTATGAGCATTCCTTACTAATAAAAACAAAGGCAAAATATAAAATATTAAATGAGATTAACATTATAAAAAACGACAAACATAAAAATTATTGGGCAATTGAAACTTAAAATATATAAATAAAAATTAATTAGATTCGATCAAATCACATTAATGAATTATGAGAAGAAAAAGAAAAACGGATTCACAATTTAAAAATACATAAATAAAAGAAATCTCAAAAAAAATTTATAATATTATAGTACATATAGAAAAATATTAGAAAACACAAAGAAATTCAAAACAAAAGATTATACATATAACTTTTAAAAAATTTGAAAGGAAAAACAAAAAATAAACATAAAAGAATTATGATTGCTAGATTAACAAACATCTATCAAATTTTAATCATGCACTGTTTGCACTTAAAATTAGATAAATGAAAAGCATGACAAAATATGTCACTGTTATTCGATGAATAAATGCAATTGAAGTAGAAGGAAAATCGTGAATTAACTCTAACATTGAAGAAAAGAAAAAAAATTCAACATCTCTTACAAAATTATTTTTATTCATGTTAAACCTATACAATAAAATTAAATACACTTGAATAAAAAAATATTTCTAAAAAACTACAGATTAAGAAGAATCAAAATAAAAATTTATAGGTTCAATGAGAATTTCATACAATTCTGTAAGAAAAAATCTCATTACCTAATATTTCTTCTTGATAAAAACCAATAAAAATTTACAACAAAGAAATATGCCATAGATTATAAAAAATTTACATGTTTTAATTTTATCAAAGCAAGATATATTAATTTATTTTCGTTTTTTTAGAGTAAATCTGAGACTACAACACACTCAACAAAAATGAAAAAAAAAACAACGGAGATCTTACCGACAAATTGTTCATATCTCAAAATCCTCATTGTCAGCTGATTGATGAAGTGGTGTGGATCTTTATCGTCATGATATATATTGCATCTAATTTCTTTTCACATCTGGGTTTCCATTGTATTGCAACTGTTTGATTGAAGTCCTTATATAATTTTCCCTCATTTCGTTTCCATTTTTTTGTCTGTTCATTCTTAGTAGTGTTACAGAGATCTTACCGACAAATTGTTCATATCTTAAAATCCTCATTGTCAGCTGATTGATGAAGTGGTGTGGATCTTTATCGTCATGGTTTGTATTGCATCTGATTTCTTTTCACATCTGGGTTTCCATTGTATTGCAACTGTTTGATTGAAGTCCTTATATAATTTTCCCTCATTTCGTTTCCATTCTTTTGTCTGTTCATTCTCAGTACTGTTACACTGGTGCTTTCATCACACCGTGACCGACCCATAAACCACAGAACTGCAAGCTGAGATCAAGCACAACACTACAGAGGAGATGCGGTTGTTTCAGACAGAAGTTCTCGAGCGTATGATACGATATCCATGCAGCGCTTGACATCCTCATTCAACAGAAGCCGTCAAAGCATCGCCATGGTTCAGAACTCAACAACAGGCCTCCGAGACGAAATTATTTGTTGTGAGTTTTAACTGTGGTGGCATTTTTGGATTTTCATTTGAATATTGATTTTCTAGATATATATGTGACTAGTTTTTCTTATGTTTATAAATATAATTTAAGGAAATGGATCACCTCCTGCCGCCTTTGACAGCAGTCAATCCTCTTCTTTCATTTTTCTAAACTTTTAATCCCCTTACAAAAAAGTCACGTATTAGATCTTTTATTTTGGATTTGGATTCTCTCCTTTTTTATATATCATGTCATCTCTCATGTTTCTAATCTAACGATTTAGAATTTATAATGAATAATTAAATAAAAAACAAAGACAAATTACTTATCCATTTCTCTCTCCTATTAAATGACTTTTTTTATTTAATTATTCATTATAAATTCTGAACCGTTAGATTAGAAACATGAGAGATGATAGAATATATAAAAAAGGAGAGGATCCAAATCCCTTTGTTTTAGTTTTTTTTTTTTAAATTTTTTTGCACCCTCTCAGTTTTGGCTATGTGAGTCTCAGTTATGACGTGACAATAGAAAGGTTAACCTCAGTTAGAAAAAAATTATCACGTCATCAAAAATCATTTTGTATCTGATTTTATTTTAATAAATAAATGAACATAATATTATTTTAATAAATTAACAAAATAATTATAAATGTTTAGAAAGGTCACCCTTTTCAAGAATATTTCAGCCTTGAAGAACCCTAAACTCACAATACCTAAAAATACCCAAAATTCTCGACCCTAAATTCTTAATACCCAAAAATTCTGCAACCGTTCTTCCATTCTTCCATAATCGTTCATCATCAAGCTTCAGGAAGGGGTGAAATTTTGTCTTTTAGCCATGGTGATTCTTGCTTCCACCGAGAAATGCAATGAAGGGGTGAAATTTTGTCTCTGGTATGTATTAATCTGCCCCCATGATAAAAACTATGTTGTATGCTTATTTTAATGTACACGGTGGTCCCTTTATGTTTTAGAGTTTCTGATGTTTTGTCTTTTAGGGTTTGTGGTCCTACAATTCATCGTTTTTTATGTCTTGTTTGTGGTGTCATTCTGACTCTAATGTATCAACTAATACAGACCAACCAAGTGTCAAACAATTAGCTTTATGATTCATCATGGTGGTAGACTGGTTGACACCCCTGTGAGATTGTATGTTGGTGGGTTTGTGTCAGAAATGAACTATAAATGGGATGTTGACTACATATCCTATATGGAACTGTTGGAATTGATTAGGAAACAAAAATATGTAGACATTAAGTGTATATAGTATTTGAACCCTAGGATGAGCTTTACTCGTGGCCTTAGAACACTTAACAGTGACAATGATGTTTTGCAAATGATAAGAGATGTTGATGGTTGTGACATTGTAGATTTGTATGTTGAGCATAACATTAGTGGACCTGACATTATAGATGAGACAAAAATAGGGCATGACATAATTTCTGATGATGATGTTGTTGAAGTGAAAGATGAAGATGATGTGCACAACGATGTTGATGTGAATGATGTAGTTGGTGTAGAAAAGGATATGGATAAGGATGTTGAATAGGACGATGAAGATGGTATGAATAAGGATGTTGATAAGGCAGTTGAACAGAATGATAAAGATGGTGTGGATACGGATGCTAAACTGGATGAAGAAAATGTTGAAGTGGCCAATGAATTTGAAAGGGATGATGAAGTTAAGGATGTTGAGGATAGTGACCATAAGTTAGATTGGGCAACTGCATTACCTAAAGATACAACAAGACCATATATGAATGACTTTGACCATGGGGAGGATTCTGACCAACTTCAAACCCCACATGAGAGTGAAGATGATGAAGAGTATGAGAGATTCCCAACCTATAAGGTTGGTGAGGGAATTAAGTTTGAGTTAGACATGAGATTTAACACCAAGGATATGGTAAAGGATGTTACAAAGGAGTATGCCATGTTGGAGAAAAAATATTTACCTACATAAGAATGATGGAAAGAGGATGGTTGTTAAGTGTATTACTGATTGCAAATGTTATATGAAAATTAGAAGGAGAGTTGGTAACCAGTATTGGCAAGTAGTGTCTTTATATGATGAACTCACTTGTCATAGGACAACCCAAAGTAGACGGGCAAAGACTTAATGGTTGGGCAAGCAATTTAGCCATGTACCAAGGCATAGTCCTGACTTGAAGCTAGCTGGTCTAGTAGCTATGAGCTTTGAGAGACAGGGAGTTAAATTGTCAACTGATCATGCTTATAGAGCTAAGAGAAGAGCAATGTAGATTAATCAAGGAGCAGGAAGGGATCGGTTCGGCCATTTAAGAGCATATGCTAATGAGCTTCTCAACACAAACCCTAATAGAAAAATTGTGTTGCAATGCTCAGACGCTGCTGATGGACCTGTATTAGAGAGAATTTACATATGTTTAAAGGCATGTAAGGTTGCTTTTGCATGCTATTTCAGGCCACTTATAGGTCTTTATGCATGTTTTCTGAAAGGCGACTTTGGTGGGTAGTTGATGTTAGCTATAGGAAGGGATGGAAATAACCATATATTTGCAATAGAATATGCTCTTGTAGAGGCAGAAACAAAGGACTCTTAGGAGCGATTATTAAATCTATTACTTGATGACTTGCAAGGCCTAAATAAAAGGGTATATGCTTTCATTTCAGATCAGTGTTGAAGCGGAAAAGCAGCAAGCAAAAATATTAAGTACCCAATTTTTTCGTCTCCACATGGATCGATGCGATGAAAGAACGTCGTTCAATGGTCTCCGCATTTCTAAGCTTGTATTAATAAAGCATCGTCAACTCGACTCCCTTTAAATGGAAGGAAGAATTTAATTGGATTACTCAAAAGAGCAAAGGAAAAGGCCTGAGAACCAAGTTACTCAAAGTTGCAGAAACGAAAATGAAATGATATACGAGATTTAAAAGTAAAGAAATGACAAGAGCTATGGAAATATTGTAAATAAAACTAAAATAAAAGAAAAAAAATCATAGAAGTCATTGTTTATAGAGGGTATACCAATTAGAAGTTGAGAAATCACGTTGCTAAATTTATGATGAACTAACTTACAATACTATAAAATGAATTTTAGTTGTACATAATTTTTCAATTAAACTTTTTCCGATATAGACCATTGGGGTCAGATATTTCAATTCTTTGATATAAATATATTTAAATACTAATTAAATATTTTTAGTATTTGCTTGAGCTTACCCTTTTAATTTTGTAATCAAAATATTTATTTATAGTATTCATAAATCTGATTAAGTATACGTTACGTATAATATTTATATTATAACAACATTTTGGATAAATAAATCCTTCATTTGCTTTCTACATTACTTTACTTTGTCCTTAAATCAAATCTTAAAAAGTAGTTTCTAATTATGAGTAACAAATTTGATTTGTAATTATTAAAAAGTAAAATAATAATAATTATAGTAAAAAAGTGTGAATAATTAATTAATTTTGAGAGAAGACTAAGAAAAAATTAATATTTTCCTTTAATATGTAATGTCATTTTTTACCATTGACGGAATAAAGTCTTAATGTCATAGAGTATCTCCTTTATTAAATTGTTAAAATACAACATTGAAATTGGCAAAAAAAAATTAATAATTACATTTTATTTAAAAAACCGAGATATTTTCACTATATGAGATACATTATTTAAATAAAATTATTCAAATATATATCTTTTTAAGGTCAATCAAAATAAATAACACATATAAAAATAGTTAGAATTTGTGACCAAACTTTTTAGTTTATATATACTAACTCCTCTTTTAATATAAATCATTTAAAAAAATATTTGTATTAAAATATTTGTAGTTTTATAATATTAATAAAGCATTGATAAACAATTTTCTTTTATAATATTAATAAAGCTTCCTCAACTCGAATCCCTTTAAATGGAAGGAAAAATTTAATTGGATTACTCAAAAGAGCAAGGAAAAAGCCTGAGAACCAAGTTGCTGAAAGTTGCAGAAACGAAAATGATATACGAGATTTAAAAGTAAAGAAATGACAAGAGCTACAGAAATATTGTAAAAAAAACTAAAAGAAAAGAAAAAAAAATCATAGATGTCATTGTTTATAGAGGATAGACCAATTAGAAGTTGAGAAATCACGTTGCTAGATTTATGATAAACTAGCTTACAATACTATAAAATGAATTTTAGTTGTACATAATTTTTCAACTAAACTTTTTCCGATATAGACCATTGAGGTCAGATATTTCAATTCTTTGATATAATTATATTTAAATTCTAATTAAATATTTATAGTATTTGCTTGAGCTTACCCTTTTAATTTTATAAGTATAATATTTATATTAGAACAATATTTTGGATAAATAAATCCTTCCTTGCTTTCTACCTTACTTTAGTGTGTCCTTAAATCAAATCATAAAAAGTAATTTGTAATTATGAGTAAAAAATTTGATTTGTAATTATTAGAATGTAAAATAATAATAGTAAAAAAGTGTCAATAATTAATAAATTTTGAGAGAAGACATGGGGAATTGATCACTTTATTACCGTAAAATGTTGTCTAGCCGATTATAAAGTCAGATTATTGGTATTTAATGAGTAATGTGGAGGGACATGAGTGACCTATAAGAGATTTCTCCTTCTACATATATATGAGTAATCTCTACGGGACCTTTGATCGTGTGTGACTGTAAATTACATGGTCATGCTAATATAAGTCAAGATGTGATATTATGTTTATTCATATTTATTAAGTACAATCAAGTATCAAAGAAGGAGTATAATATTGGACTGGGTCTGACAAACAGTGTCTTATTTTTAATATATAAAGGAATAGGATAACATATATATATATATATATATATATATATATATATATATATATATATATATATATATATATATATATATATATATATATATATATATATATATATATATATATATATATATATATATATATATATATATATATATATATATATATATATATATATATATATATATATATATATATATATATATATATATATATATATATATATATATATATATATATATATATATATATATATATATATATATATATATATATATATATATATATATATATATATATATATATATATATATATATATATATATATATATATATATATATATATATATATATATATATATATATATATATATATATATATATATATATATATATATATATATATATATATATATATATATATATATATATATATATATATATATGTGTGTGTGTGTGTGTGTCCCCCTAATATATTTACGTAGTTTACTATAATTTTAATTTCCTTTTTCTAAAGTTAATTTCTAATATTAGATAAAATAGTTGTGTGTTTATATTAATTAATTTTCATTCAATTTATTCTTCATACGTATACAAATTTATTTTTTCGACAACGAGTATAGTTGATATGTTTTATGATAATTCATTCTTCGTATATTGATTATGCGAGGTTGTCTATTATTTTTGTTACAATTACAAAAGGATTTTTGAAACTTCAAATTTATGTATATTATTATACAATGTCTATTGAATAATTGAATTTTTATAATTATTTTTTATAAATTTCATTGGTTTTTGAAAAAAAATTATTTTCAACATTTACCACTTTAAAAATAATAATCCCATGTTCTCTTCATACCATTCTCATAAATAGGATTTTTCTTTTTCCATATTCAATACTATATTTAATCATTTATGTAACATTCATAATTAACACTTATTACAAATATTACTAAACAAATGTTTACAATATTTTACCACTGTTACTTGTTTTTATTTATTGATATTTAATACATATGTATAAAACTATTTCAAAGAATTTTATTTTTATTTTTTTACAAATCAAATATCTTCTACATACAAAAACTAATTGAGGTCTAATTCCTCAATTGTGTAGAATCACAAGAGGCTTGCAGTACTAAATTCAAATCAAATTCTCTAATTAAATTAAAAGAGAAAAAGACCGGTATCTCATTCAAATTCTATTAGGCAAAATTCTATAGTAACATTTTTATTTTATTTTTATTTTTTACCCTTTAGTAACATTTATAGCTAACATTTTTTAAGAAGATTACTAAACACGTTTTTACCTAACATTTAAAAAAAATGGTGGATAAATATTAGTTACATTCTCCGCTTATTATTATAAGTAATAAAATTTTTTTAGAATTTATTAAATAAATGTTGTTTCTGACTATTATTACATATCAGATACATTACTTATTTAATAAATTAAAATTTTTTTATTGTTTGTTATAATAATGACCAGAAGAAATATGTTTTAATCATTAATACTATCTCGGTTTGTTTATATAATAGACAATTTTATTTTTAGGTTTATTAAATAATCAATGTATCTAATCTATAAACTGACCAAATACATTGATTATTTAATAAACCAAAAAAATGAATTATCTTTCATATAAAAGAACGGAACGGAGGTAGTATTTAATAAAACAAATATTTTTTAAGAAAAACTTGAATAAAAAGAAGAAACATCTAATATAATTTGAAAAATAATATTTATGTGTTTCTAACCGATCTATTATTATTATTCCAACTCTCTACTTCTATTCTCTCCCCATGCTCAAACTTGAGGTTTAACACCAAAACATACCCTAAATGATTAAATTAAGGTTTTCTCCCTTTTTATACCTTCTCTATTTCCTCACCCTAATTGATTGAATTAAGGTTCTATTTTCATACCTTCTCTATTTTAAATAGCTTTAGCATGTGACTTTAATTGAATTTCAAATACTACATTTATATTACATTGCAAATCCTCCAATTACAATCACAATTTTACCTCTTTTGATTCATTTTCATATTTCACATCATATGTTTTGCCGATGCATTCAGTAAATTACATCAGTCAACTCATTCATCTCTAAATCTCTTGTGGACTCACGTCTATAAGATTATTTACTGTTATAAATTATACGTTC